TTTTAAATTACAATTTTTCATTTTTAAAAGACATTAATTTTTTAGGGCACATAACATTGCAGCTTTCTCTAATTTTAGCACAGCCGTCAACCTTGTAAGCGGAGATAAGTCATCTTCCTAACGACTTTGGTTTTGAAATTATTGAGAAAAATAAATCACTGCATTTTATACCAAGGTTTTTTCTTCAATAATTTAAAAAAGTATGGAATAAACATTCAAAATGAGAAACGTTATTCTGTAATACAACTATACAATTTAATAGCTAAGTTCCCTTTACATTTTTATATAAATTAATGGCTAAGGGTTTAACAAATGGTGCCTTTCATTGACACAACCCTGTAAACCGACGTTGATTAAACTTAAATTTTCAGTAATTATACATTTATTTAAAAAAATTTCTGATTACCTACCTTTTTATGAAATAAACTTTCATTATAAATTAAATTTATATATAATAATATTAATATTTCTTTTTTATATTCATTTAAATATGATACCGTTAATAATAATATAATAATTGTAATTAAAAAACATAAATTTGTTATAAATAATGGTAGAAATGATATTAATGTATCATATTCCCAATTTAATGCAATTGTAAACCATAAAATATATTGTGTTATAGCAAATAAACGTAAAAATAAACATAATAAACATAATATAAATAATTTCATTATATAATTTAAATATATTTTAAATATTAGATTATTTAGAAAATTTTTTTTCATAATAAATAAAATTATTTTCATTTTATATTTTAAACGTTTCTCAATTATATTAAATTTATAATTATAATTTATAATTTTATTAAAATTAATTAATTTTAATATAAATTTTTTTAATAAATTTTTATCATAATTTAATATTCTTATAAAATATATTGTTAAATTAATTAAAAAATTTGATATTTTCATTTCAATAAATATCATTAAGATTTCATGTCCCAAATCTAAATGTGGTCGTATATTTTTCATATTTAAAAATATTATAAATTCAGATAAGGTTTTTAATATATTTATTATATATAAAATAATTTTTAGTATATTTAAATTTTGATATTTTTCAAATAATTTCATATTAATAGAATAGATTTGTATTAATTTTTTATAAAAAATTTTTAATTTTTTCATTTTTATTAAATAATAACCATATAAAATTAAACATAAAATTGTTTCAATTAAATATAATATTGGTAAGATTTTATCTAATTCAGTATCTAAATTTATTTTAAAAATATCATTAAAATATTGTGGTAATAAACATATTGATAAATATATATATATTAAATATAATATTAAATCAATTAAATATATAATATTAAATGAAAAATTCATTATGGTATTATTATTAGTCTCGTAAAAATCATATATTCCATAAAAATTTTTTATAAAATTTATTAATATTGAACTCATATATAAAGCTATTTGTCTACTCTAAACGATATTTGAAAATTTAAAATATTTTTTTTTTAAATTAAAATATTATTATTAAAATTTAGTATAACAGTTTAATTTAGTTATAATTTAGTAATTATATAAAAATTTTCAATAAATTTCAATAATATTTCGAACAATTTTCAATAATATCAATTTATAATATTAAAATATTATTATTAAAATTTAGTATAACAGTTTAATTTAGTTATAATTTAGAAATTATGCAAAAATTTTAAATTCTCTTTAAAAATCCGTGAATAAATTTTAAATAATTTTAATTTATAATATTTTTAATATTGTTATTAAAATTTAGTATAACAGTTTAATTTAATTGTAAGTTAGTAATTTTATAGAAATTTTGAATTCTATTTAAAAATCCGCGAATAATTTTAAATAATTTCAACTTTTAAATTTATTGCAATATTATTATTAAAATTTAGTATAACAGTTTAATTTAGTTATAATTTAATAATTGTATAAAAATTTTTAATCCTCTTTAAAAATCCGTGAATAAATTTTAAATAATTTTAAATTATAATATTTTTAATATTATTATTAAAATTTATTATAACAGTATACAACTGTTAATATGATTGTACTAAAATTAATTAATACATATAGAGGAATATAAGAAATATATAGAAATTACGGTCTAAAATAATTTCTTTTGTTGATGTAAAATAATAATTAATAAAAAAAATTACTATTATTACTCGTATTATTGTTACAATGCCAGGTGTTTTGGCATTTATATGACACTTTAATGCCGTTATCACCTTTAAATAAACGATACGATATTGTTGTAATATAAATATTTTTTTTTTTTTAATTTTTTTTTTGTATTAATGGGCTTTTAATAAAATTAATTTATATTTTAAATGAGGAGATAAATAAATAAAAATATTTTGATATTTTAAATGAATATACTCTTTATATAATTCGAAAGTTCAGGAATTTTAGTTGAGGATTAACGTAGCAAATGAAATTGCAATAAAAATGATAATAATTGGTATATTATCATAATCGTTTAAGCAAAATTTCAGCATTATAATCTCAATAGTTTTCGTAATATAATTGCCAAATGACTTCCGTAGTTGTATGGTATCACCTGCCATCACGACTCCAGATATTTCAACTAGTCTATACAAAATTTTGTATACCTTGTAGTTTCTGTAATTTCTAACATATGCCCGAATTACTATTCCGATCACACCAAATTCAAATAAGTTTTTAGTGGTTATTGGTTTTTTGAGTTATAGCTGTGATTTAAAATTTTTGGAGTTATAACTGGCGCTGACGGTCAGATATGACTAAATCGTTTCAAAATTTGGCACTATGATTAAAATCATATTCTTGAGTTTATATGTCAGACCGTTATTCCTAATCGTTACAAACGATGTGTCAAATTTATAACATCCTTCGAATATACGTTCTTATACGAGTATAAAACAAACTTCTACAAAATTGCATACTTTTTGGATGAGAAAAAGAATTTAAATGAGAAATGACGTATTTGTCGGCTCATTGAGTTGGTTAAAATAAATAATTATATATTTTAATGTGGAAATTTTTACTATTTTTTAAATTTGAAAAAAATTTACATTTCCTATAGAAATTTCTACACAAGCCATAGTTTAATTTGTATTACAAACAAATATTTACTATCTTAAACCTATTTTGTAGTACTTTCGAGTATTGAGGAATAATTCTAATAACTTAAGTACGAAATTTTTTATATAATTATAACAATTTCATTATTATATACAATACTTAATCCCTTTCTAAATTTCTAATGTGATTGCTTTCATCATACTTAAAGATATTAGACTAACTATCATTTAAAGTCCAATATTAATAATTCAATAAAATACTTGATTTTTACGTTCTATTTAATTATATTACTAATTTATTTCTACATAATAGTAAATCAATGCTATCATAGTAAGTATAAATCAATGCAAAACAACTACTTAATTTAATAAGGTTATGTGACGGTGATAATTTTCTTATCGAATGATTACGAATATGATAAAGAGAATTATAATTTTTAAATACATCCTTTCCAATAAGAATAATTGTACTTAATAATAATTAACACTTGTATATCATACCGGTAGAGTATTAATTTTATTATGTACTCGTATAATAGAAATAAGTTCAATTATTAAGTATTCTCATGCCTCAATTTAAATTATTATTAGTAATTGAGTATTTGATAACATAAACAAAATAATTCTTTTATGGAAAAATGCAATAAATTTGAATGGAAAATTAATAATGAAATAATTAATGACGAATTTGAAAAAAATACAGTGGAATTCTTTTGATTTAAGTACATATGCACGTATATAATAATTAACCTACAAATTTATTATGGACCTAATAATGTACCTAATAATAAATCCCAAATTGTTATATTTAATTTCACTCTACAGTTTTGTATTTAAGATGCTAAATTTAACTTGCAATTATATCTAAAATTTGATTGCATTCAAAAAATATTTTTAAATTTTCATAATTTAAAGGGTTAATCTGAAACTTGCGATTTAAGATCATATGTGGGTTTTAAAATGATTCCTTCACTAATGTTTAAGATTAGGGACACAATAATATTATTTAAACTTCATTATGTATCAGAAAGGGTTAATTGGAAAATTTCAATAAATTATTAATTTTAATACGCTTGTATTCTTATTAAAATTTTATTACAAGAATCTTGAGTACCTTTACTTTTATTATATTAGAAGATTATATTTTTTTTAATAATTATTAATATTATTGTTTTCTGATTTTAATGGAAATATTGAGGTCAATAAAATAAAATTAAATTGCAATATTAAATTGAGAAAATCATTGAACTTAAATATTTTCCATTGTCTTGTCATATTTTTAAATTCCATTTGACACATAACAAAAATTTATATTATAATAATTTTGTTTTTAATAAATTTTAACCCTAAACATAGCAATGGGATCAATTTGAGTCTGGCAAGCTAGGTTATTTTTTTAATTTATGTTTGACTTGTGATTGCAATAATTTTGACCTCCTGAATTCCATTTAATCCAATATCTTCCAATTAATTGTTTTTAAATATCTTCACTTTGAAATTATAATTCTCAAGATGAGATCCATTCCATCATCCATATCCTGAATCCTTACTAGTTTAGCTTGTCGCTTTAGGAATTAAATCCCAGTTTCCGGTTTTGTATAACATTATTTCGTAGACTACTGTTAAAACATATTTTTCACCAATAAGTATAACAACGAAAAAAAAAATCATTTATTTTAATAACTTAATAATTTTATATTTGTTTAAGGGTTAATTTATAAAATAAAATATGTATTTGAAATCAAATTTTCACAATTCATTTTAGAGTAATTACAAAATGAATTCGCAAGTGTAATATGCAAGTAATCAAATAAGAAGTAAGTAACTTTTATATACAAAAATACAAAAATATTGACATAATTAACAAAACATATACAATATACATTTATACAAACTTTTTTATTAATATTATTATTCAAAACTTATCAAAATTTAATTAATATAAGCCAATTTTTTAATTAAGTTTCTTAATACTCAATTTAATTATGATCAATTTTCCGGTAATCAAGTACTGGTGTTATCGTAAATTTTGAATTATTTGATTTTTCTAATGTACTTGGTGCCGATGTTTCATATGGTGATGCTTCTATTGTTGGTAATCTCTTAATAGATCGTTTTGTTTTCGGTGATCTTGTTAAAACTTCAAATGGCATTGATGAACGTCTTACATAATTTGAAAAATCATCTAATTGATGACGAATTTTTTCAGCACATAGACTATTTGCTCTATATTTGAAAATGAAAATTAAATTATTATTAGTTATTACAAAAAAAAAATAATTATAGGAGGAAATTTCAAATTTGAAAGGGTTTACAAATCAAGGAGTTGTATGAAGGGGTTAATGATGAAGGAGTTATATTTAACTGCTTTACTCCTTCGTTAATCAACTCCTTTATATTTAAATAACAAAATCAAAATATTAAATACCTTCCGCCTCCACTATATCTAGATGAATGTACTGTTGTTGAATAATATCTTTCTAAATCTTGTAAATTTTTATTAAATGGTAAATTTTGTAAATTAACTGGTGACCATGTATTTGGATGTGCTAAATCATCCAATTTTAATGAATTTAAACGTTTTATAACATTTTGTTCCTCTTTTGGTAATTGAGAATATTCATCAGGTAATGATGAATCATCATTAAATGGATGTTTATTATAATCACGAGCAATTCTAATATCATGACGCCAAAATTGTTTATCAATTGATATTGGAGCAATTTCTTTTATCTAAAATAATTAAAATTAATTTTAAAATATCATGTATTACGATAATTAATAAAATTTTACTTTTAATATAACAACTCCAATTACATACACGCATATAATATTTGATACAGTCAGTAATAAACTCATAAAACCTAATATTCCTAATTCTGTTGCAATATTATCAGAATAAACTCCCATTTGTGTATGTATTTTGGAGCTTTCATCCGGTACATGTGAAATGTAGATACAACTTAAGGCCCAAAGTAATCCCTATAGAATTATAATTTTCAAATTAAAATTAAATAATTAATTTAGGTAAATTAATTAAGAACAAATAATAATTACCGCATTTACAGCTGGTGGTAATAAACTGGCTGATATTGCAACACCAACTAATGATCCAACATTTCCACCAAGGATACCTGAAGTTTGAAATGAGAAAAAAAAACTTTTAATTAATAAGAGTGCCATAATAACTCGAATTATGAAGTTTTTTATTGCATAAGCGAAAATATTTGTTTTGGACCACATCCAAGTCTAAAATTCGAATTTAAAATCCAAACTCTACAAAAAACAATTTAGACGAAGTTTCATTTTAAAATCCGGTACTAAAAGTTTAGAATGAGAGCTCTCGAACAGGATTTGAAAATTCTGACCGTAAATATATTTAAATTAAAATTTCGCCATATTTTGAAAGATTTTTCAGATTTTGGACCCTGAATTTAAAATTTATCAAAAAGAGATAATTTTCAAAATTTTAGTATAGAAAGTTTCAGTCAGAAAATTCATGGAGTTTATGGAAAATTGTTAAAAATTTTTCAAAATTCTTGAAAATTTACTTCTATTTTATCGATTGCAAGTCCTGTTTTAGTGAAGTTACACAAAAAGCAGACGATTTACTTGTAATATGACTAATTATTATAATACTAATACAAAAAAAATATTTAAAAATTTTTACCAACAGCAGCTGCTGCTCCTGAAACTGTTGCTGTTATTATACCAACACATATTGAATGTAAACTTGTTCTTGATATCATTTCAATTGTTAAACCATCATCTAATATATTATATTCAGTTTCAGCTAAACATACAATTAAACCAAAAACAAATCCAACTAATGTTGCCATTAATAAACCAATTAATTCATTTTTAACACCCAATAATGTTAATGGACCATCTTTAATAACAGTACCAAATATTCCAGCTATAATTGGTCCCATTAATGGTGATATTAACATACTTGATGTTAAAAATATTGTACTATTTTCAACTAAACCAAATGATGCCAATACACTAAAATTTAAAATTATAAAAGAAATTTATCAATAGTTAGACATAATAATTTATTCAACAGTTAATATACTTACGCAGCTGATATAACTAATATAGTGAAATCAAATGTTATTGTAGCATCCTGTCTTACATCTCTTACAACTTGTGCTATATTTAAACGTGCTGCTAAATTATTCATAAAACGATTCCAAACTCCACTTTTTGTTGCCGTATAATCCCTAAAATATTAACTCTTATTAAATTTATGTAAAATTTATTTTTTAAAATGAATTCTGCTGATGCAGAATGAAAAATTAAAGATTATACTTACTCCGATGTTGTTGAATATTTTCGATCCTCATCATCATGCCTATATGAATTAAATGTACAATTTGCAAATGTTACTTCTGATCCTTTTCGATATCCTATACCCCAATCATTAAGCATTAATTGTAAATTTTCATATTTATGATCACAATCAATTGTAAACATTATCTATAAGGTGGTAAATCAAGAAGAAAATAAATATTTAAGGTAAAAATTTAAGATAAAGGAGAGGTGTTCGAATATCGATGTCAAATCTCAGCAAAATATGTTGCAGAATTTAATTAAGTTGGTGACAGGAAAAAGGAAATGAGAAAGAAAGGGGAATAAAGAAAGGAGAACTGAGAATTATTAAAAAAGAGACGTACAAAAGAGGAAATCGCAAAGAAGGGAGAAGTGTGACAAGGACGGGTAATGAGGTAGAAAAAATTAACAAACTCACCTGATAATATCTATTATCTCTAATTTTATTCCATGATATATTTTCAATTCTTAATTTTCTGAAAATTTCTTTTAAAACAGTTACCATACTCGACTCAGTCACCAAATCCAAATATAATGATGAAGAATTAAGTTTCTTTTTTGAACTTTGATCACTATTGCTATCCTAAATTAAGAAAATAATTTTTAATTTAAGAAATGTCATATTTAATTTATTCATAATATTTCAAAATAATTACCTTAATTGTAACTTCTTTTTGTATATTTTTTAAATCATCTGCACTTCTATTAATTCTATTTTGTAAATTATTAATTGTATAATCCATTTCAATTTCAAATGAATTATTATCGATGCCAGTAATTTTTGAATTTTTATCAAGTGATAATGTACTGTTCTGTAATATATATAAGAAAAGAATTTGAATGTTATTAATTTATAAAACAAGCAATTAGATCTTCAAATTTGAATTAAAATTCAGCTGTAAACGAAAATTAATTTAAAATAACTATATAATGACAGAAATTGCAAATATAAATCTAATTCAGGTACTAACGCGAATGTGACTGGAAGAAGTACGATATGGCTTTAAAAAAGAAACCTGTTGTAAAAGATGTTCTTAAAATCTTTTCTATCAAATTGCTTTTACAAAACACCATGATTTTTTTCAATGTCAAATCTTTTAATTATGAATTTTTCTCATTTATTTTAATCGAAAAATCATAAAGTTCTTGAACCGCCACTTTGTAACAAAATCTAATCCGCTGTTATCTTCAAAATTCAACATCCTCCTATCCTAAAATTCTCTTAATGACCCACTCAACTGCATAATAATATTCTTCAAGTAATGGTCTTAATGTAATGCTTATCTTAATATAAATTCGGACTTGTTTGAGGTCAATATAATTGAAACACATTAAAATCATTCAGAGTGTTTCGGTAATTTTCCGAGCTTTCTAGCTAACTAATTTTTATTTTAATAATGTTTTGTTTAATGTCTTCAGTTTACTCCACTAAATAAAAATTATCGTTGACGTAATGAATGGCAATAGTTACGCATACATGTCCAAAGACGTCGGTAAGTAATATATATAACAATAAGTAATCAAAAAATATTCTGATTAAAGTAGTTCCACTCAAATCAAATAATTTGTGACTAGCTTGGTAATTTAATCTTGTATTACTCATTATTAGTTACGCAAATATAATTTATTACTATACTGTCTTTTTAGAATTAAAATTGACTTTAAACATAATTTCTTCATATACATGTTTATCGTAAATTATTAGTGTATTTAATTTTTATTGAATTATTTTATTAAAACATAATCATTCTAAAATTCTTAGAATTACGATAATAAGAAAGCGAAATCAGTTCATCTTTCAAAAAAAAAAAAAATGCAAAAAAAATTAAAAATCAAGAACGATTAAACGCGATTTGAATATAAAAAACGTAATTTTTACACGGAACTTTACCTGTACTCGCAATATAAGATAATTATGTATGTATAAGAGGATTGTATTAATCAATAAATCGTAATAAACATTTTTTTTATTTTACTTTTAATAAAAAATTTCGAAGAAATTCAAAAGAATAACATGGAAAAATTTTATTTTTTTTTTTATTTTAATTGAATTTCTTCTATATTGAATAAATACAGATGAGCTGATTTTAAAATTCTTATGATATAACAATATCATTCTTTTTGTTAATATTATCTTAAATATTTTTATCTAATTTAAATATTAATTGTATATATATATTTTAATTTAGTAAAGAAATTTATAGTTTTAAAATAATTGAGCCAATCAACTATAGGATAAAAATTTTTCTGAATTGGTAATAGTTCTCATTTGAACACTTTATTAGGAGTCGAAGTACAGGAGAGCGGAACATTTTGGTAAAAATTTAGACTACTTACTAGCGTTCTAAATTAGGCACAAATTATATATAAGGCAGGCAAGACTTTTCATTCCTGATCCGTCCTGCAGAAAGGCCAGTGAGCTGTTGGCGTTAAAAAGGGGGTAGGCCAAATTGGTGGTCGGCCTCACTGGGCACTGTATAATGGATTATGACTTGCAAAAATTGGGACAACCATTTGCGTAAATTTTGCCATGATGAAGATAAGACGGCTAAGCATATTTTCTGCTTTTGTGAAGCATTGGCCAGAAGGCGTTTGGTTTACTTGGGGGGATACATGGTGGCACCCTTATACTTGTGAGAAATGGCACTTTGACAAATCTGTAATTACATGAGGAAATGGTGACATGTTGCAATAAGTTTGTAAGGCTGCTGTGACCTGACCTAAGGTTGACTCCTGGAAATCTACGAATTTAATCTAATATAATCTAATATATAAGGTGCACATGAAATTTTTTAATATACATATGTATGTAACTTTTCGCGAGCAGATTCTCCCCACGAGCAGAAAAAGCTCAATTTAATCTTGTTTTAAATATTAATTATGTTAGGGTCACTAAAATAATGTAACCTTGTAAATCGAAACTGCCCCCCTTTTATTTCTTACCCCGCCTAGAGTATTACAGTGCCGCATTTCAGAACTGAATTGCAAGCTTTTCATTATTATTATTTGCTAAATTTATTTGTTGAGTTAATAGTTGAGTGACAGTATTGAATTGAGTTGTCTAATTAATTTACTCACGAACGTGCAGTTAAATTCTTCATTTCATGCAACTTTCATTCATACTATTAAAGTCCTAGCAGAATAGAATAATTTTTATATTAAATAAAATTAATTATTAATTCATTTCATTTCTTTTCAATTAAATTTATAACATAAGAAGATTTACCGACCATAATTAATTAAAAAAAAAATTCATCACTTACACAAAATATTTTTATACTATAAATTGTATAATATAAAAATATTTTCAATAGTCAGTTTTTCAGCAATGACTTACTATTACTCTTATTAAAATTAAAAGACAGTTAGGAAAATTTAATTTGGCGAGTAATAAATCATTGAATTCATATATGAAATTTTCCTTTTCTGTTTATATATTTATTTAATTTAATTAATAACACTATTCAATCTTAATACAAATTAATATTATTACCCATTAGATTATAAGATCATTAAAAAATTAAAAAAAAAAAAATAAATCATTATCACACAACCCAATTTAGGTTTACCATAATTAAATCTCAATAATTCGTTAAAATAAATTTTTCCAATTAAATTTTTTCAGGTGAGATCTTATAATATTAAAACATTGTAGTTAAATATAAACTAAAATATACATTTGCAAACAGGGTGGAAAAAAAATTGTATTCTTCTATGAAACTTATGTTATCGCTAGGCAGTAAAGATCCAATTACTAAAAATCATATTGAAATATTTTTATTCTAGAAGATATTACGAACAAGTAGACATTCAAAAACCGAGCCATTGGCTCTTTATTTCTTATAGATCTACAATAATTTGATAATTTTTTGACATTGCAAATCATATGGTCTAGTGTTGGCAAAATTTTACATGAAAATATTTTTGAGGAGATTTTTAATTATAAAGTTTGAAATTGAAGGTTCTAAATGACAAATTTTTCGAAATTGAATATATATTATCATTCTGCATTATTTGGAATTGTTGCTGGCAATTCGCTCATTTATAAACTTGAAATGCGATCTCAATTTACAGAAAAAATTATAAAAAAAAATTATTGTTTTTTTGGCAACCAATATTTCAGTTCTTCAGGTTCTTTTGCGAAAAATTATTTTCGGATTTTTCACAAAATTAAAATTAAAACCGAAATCTGTTTTTCAACTTTTTATCGCAACTGTATACATTTCGATTATTTTTCTTAATAAAATTTATTAATTTATATTATTAAACTAATAAGAAGCTCAAAAATATTTTAAAAGTTTTAAAATAAATTCCAATACTAATAATATTTATCCAATTTCCAATAAATTGAATAAAATTATTATATAGTTATATAGGTGAAATATTACAGTATATTGTACAATTGTACAATATGAAATTCTCTAATAAATAAACACACTAAACACTTATTTGATTGATTTATATATGGAATTTTATGTATTGTGGTCTCTTAAGTCATTAAAAATTTTGTTTGTAAAAATAAAATAAAAAGCAAATTCAAAAATCAATTTTTCTCTTTATATAAGCTTTTATCCATTCAATTAGTCTAAATTTCAAATGCATTCTTATAATATTTTTCCATTAGTTAAAAAAAATAATTTATCCAATTAAATATTAAAAGTTTTAAATTTTATTTATTTTTAATTTCGTATAATTATTAACCCGACATAATTATAAAATATAAGTATTTATAGAAAAAATTGATTATTTTCTTATTTATATATGTACATATACATATATTGACTGATTGTTATACGATTGTATTAACTTGTGTATTGTTATATTGTGATATTTTGAACAAACTGTTGTTATTTTAGGGTGATATTGAACAAATTGAGAAGAGTCTTTGCGAAAAAGTTATTATAATTATATTAAAATTAATTTATTAATATGATTTAATAACGTATAATAAAAATTAATAAAATTAATTAATGACATACCCTGATATCGGAATTGTAATAATACCGCATTTATACACAATGCAGCAAAATCCGTTTGTAAGCTGAATTCTGCATTAATATGGTATTATTACAATTCCGATCTCGGGGATATTCCTATTTGTAGTGTAAATTAGTATAATGGTCTATTCAATTACAAAATTTACTTATTATTATCCCACAACAATAATATTGCTGCAAATAGTATAACAGCAATTTGTCGTTCCCAACTGATTTTAATTGATTGCCCCGTAATAAATGACTGATTTCACTGAAATTGATACAAGGAACTTTTAATTTTAAATATTTCAAATGAGTTTTAAAGGCATTACACTTTTAATTTTTCTTATATTATAAGACCTTAAATTCAAATTCGATGAAAATTATAATTACAAATTTCCAGAGATTTGTAAGAGTCAAGATGCTTTTCGTGATCGAAAAATTTCAGGAAAAACCGGGGATTCTATATAAACTCAAGTTATAGTAGCTTATCTCGGAAAAACATTTTATATATAACTGCAAAATCTAACTCAAAATTTTTCATACAAAATCGAAATTATTAAAATCTTAAAGTTTCCCATCAAATGAACTCAAGCCTTCTATCTTTGTCCGCTTCTAATTCTAGATTTTAAGAATTTCCGAAAAAAAATAAAAACATAATTGCTTGATTTTATATACACGAAATTTAAACTTAAAATATAAATATAATTTTGCACATTTTGAAAATATAAAAAAAAAATCCAAATTTGACCTCCAAAAATCAAAATTTTTCCATTTTTTATTAAGTTTTGTCATATGTCTATTTAATACTTTCGTTGCAGCTTGTAATTACATATGGAAATTTTTCTATATAGTTTTCTAGTAAAACAAATAAATTTAACAGATCTATCTGAAATCCTATAGATGTTATAATAACAACGTCATCTTCTCAATATACAAAAATCTACAAGTAAACTAAAAAACTTCTACTGGCCCAAAATAGTACAATACCCAAGCAAAATTAATGAATTTGCTGTTCAATATTTAAGTGTATAATAATTAAAATATACTCAAAAGTGATGACGGTTCCTTTTTGTATAAAAAAATTATTGACTTTTACAATTAACACAATTAATTTATTTCCAAATTTATGAAAATATAGTTAACAAAAATATAGTTTTGTTCTCAATACCGTGTGTTATAGATCGTATAGCTGCAGCGCTAAATATTTTTATTTAATTTACGGTCACTAATATTTTATACAAATAAAAATTTTAGGAAATTAACTAAAAAATTCCAATTTTATTTTCTATACATAATAATATTCAAAATAATTGTTAAGCATATTTTGTATTATTTATGACTAAGATCTAAAATGTTAGTATTGTTATATAAAGTTGATAATAATGAAGATGTGTCATAAATTTAAGTACAATTTTATTTCTTAATTCTGATTAGGCAAAAGAGTAAACTTTAAGAATAAAAATATCAAGATCATATTAAATTTAAAAATAAATAATATTTAAGAAGATAAAAAATACTGTAATCAAGAGCAATAAATACTCTAACGCACACGACATTCTCTAGGTGGAGTTGTTTATCACAATATATATCTATTCCTTCTTTCCTAACTTTTAAATAAATCTATGGTTATTAGCTTTTTCTATTTTAATGACGACTTTATAAAGCCTGCATACAAAAATTTTTAAAAGCCGACCGTTTTCGCCAATTCACATGCTCTTACTATATCAACTTGACGACATCAAGAAGTATAGTGACACCCCTGAGAAATGCCTGAACTTTATAAATTTTAAGGAGCAAAATTAGAATTCGTATAATTAGAATTTGATTATAGTATAACAATAACGCAGTAACATGTAATAATTCATAAATTTAGTAATATTTAAGAATTAGAGGTTATACTTGTAAAAACTTAATTTAATAAACAAACAACATTTATATTTACCAGTACCTATAAATTTTCCTTAAGAACTTTATTAGTAAATTGAATTTACAAATTAAAAGCCATATAAACAACTAACGGAACAAAGCTTACTAACTAATTGTTATGAGAACATCGAGTTTTCTGTTACATTTATTGATTATTAATGAGTTGAACTAATAAAATTTAATTTTAGAATAAAGAAACACGAACATATATGGCAGCCCAGATAGTTGACAATTCACAATTTATTATAAAAATTTAAAATTGAAAATCTAATGGCTTATAGACCCCTAACCTATAAATTGTAAATTATGCTCTAAAATGTAATATAATCCTCATTCTGACAATCAAACTTACCTCTTTAGATGATTCATTTTGATTTTCATAATTTGATCCAATTTTATTTTTATTTATTAATAAATTATCATTATTATATTTTGTATTTAAATTATCTTTATCTTTATTTAATGAAATTGGATTGCTAGATGTTGTTAATGTTCCAGCAGATGATGATGTTGATAGATATGTTGCTGTTGTTGGTATGAAATTATTTTTTTCATTACCTTTTTGTTGTTGTTGTAATTTTAATTCTTCGGCTTCAGTTGGTATAACAATAACACATAGTGCACCTAAACTCATTTTTATAAATTTTTAGATTTTTTTCTAATTTCTCTTTTCACACACTTTTATTTAATTTTTCTTTTTGTTGTTTTTCTTAATTTTAAATAATTTATAAAAAAAAACACGTTTTCTTTTTCTCTTATATTTTATTTATTATTAAAAAATTTAATTTTTAATCACTTATATTTTAATTATTAAATAATTATTTTTTAAGTATTAATTAATCTAGTTCTAATAAAATTAATTGAATTGTTGGTTGCTCTCCGGCTTTCACATATCAAAAAACATTCTGTCTAACTAAATTAAATTAAATAAAATTTGTGAAAATTAAATTAAATTATTTTTTTTATACCATTATTATTTTAGAAATTTTATGTATTTAATTAATTTATTATTAAATATATTCGTATAAAAGTTAGATGATATTAAAGTATTGGCTATTCATTTAATAGTAAACCGATTAACTGTTCAATTTTAAATGTTTGTTGGTAATATTTATTGTCAGAAAATTTTAAATAATAATGTACAGGTATATTTAACTCATATACATGTATATGAATATGTATAGCTATACCATATATAGTACAACATATTGTTAATATACTAGCACATTGTAGTATGTATATCAAAAGAGTACCGAAAATGAGAGAGTAAAAATAAAAAAAAATAACATTTCTTCTGTTCTGCTTCTCATATTTTATGAGCATTGTACTTAATTTTTCAGTTATTTGAGAGAAATTTATTTATATAAGTGTTATACACAAATTATAATAGCAGTTTATTTAGTTTAATATAAAAAAATAATTAAATTACTCATTATTAATATTATAATATACTCAATATGTTTAGTTATTACCAGAGCTTATCACCGGAATATTAATATTATTACCATATTAATACAAAATTTACTTTAAAGAATTTATTCTTTTAAGAAAATAATTTAAAATTACAAGCAAGATTTTCGAATTTGAAACGATGCCATTATAACAATATGTACAATAAATGAGGGTTTGTTTTGAAAATCTTGAAATTATTAAAATTTAAAATATTTTGTAAATGATATTTTAATAATAAAATTAATTTTAAAAATCATTAAAAAAATATTTTAAAATTTCTTAATTGTATAGTTCATGCTATCTTTATGTCCAATTAATACAAACACCTAGTAAGTTGTTGCAGAGGCGTGAAAAGGCGTGGTTATTAAGTCAAAAATTTAATTTATTATATATAGTCATAATTCACTTAAAATGCAATTAAAATTTATTTAGATCTAACTAGATTAAGTTAGAATATTCTCGTGATATATTTTTATATCATAATATTGTATATATTGTATATACTATTAGTGAAATTGAATTACATAATATTAGTTAATTATTACCAAAAATAATAATCAACTAAATCTATAAACAATATTTAAGAATATAATCTATATAATATAATTAACTAATTGTGATTTATTTTTAAAAAATTATTTAAAATTTAAAAAAAATTTATAATATTAGCGCACAAAACTTGGACAAATAAATATTTATTAGATTATTATTTATTGTAAATATGTATAACAAATTTTAATTATAAACTATTAATTACCAATAAATATTATTAACACTTTTAAAATTATTTTATATTTTTCTCCTTAAATTTCTTTTATTACAATATTATTGCACAAAAATTTAATAAAGAATCACTCTTAATTTTTTTATATATACATTATATTAACAAATTTATATTTTTGGATATATATTTAATTAATTTAATTAAATAATTATTTTCCTATTCCGTTTTTGTTGAAATTGGATTAATATAAAACAAAAAAATCAACAGAAAGTTTCAACTGATAATTTGAAAAGTTAAAAGCAAAATGAAAAATAAATTTTGTTATACATTTTAGTGATCATATCGAAAATTGAAAAATGTTCATATGATTTTGTTTTTCTACACATATATATGTATATGTATATATAATTATATAATAAATAAATTCACAATTTGCACTTGTCCGATATTTGTATTAAACAAAACGTATTAAAAAAAATTTTTTCTGTACTCTTAAAAATTTCCACATATTAAGTATAATTATGATTCGAAAAGCTTTAAAATTAATTGGGATCAAATCAATGGTTTGTAAAATAGCACATTTCAAATTGAACAAACACAAATACTTTAAAAACAAAATCCAATTTCTATATTCAAATTATTTAGGTTCTTCCGTTTATTTTGATTATCAAATCACTAAGTGATAGTGACAATTATCGTAAAAAGTTCGAGATATGATTATAAATACAAACCATTTCATACAAATGATTCGTGTCTATAATAAAGTTATGAATAATATCACCATTACTTAGTGACTCTATATTCAAAATAAGCATCAATATGCCTATCAAAATATTTTATAATTAATGCATATACTTAGGATGACAACAAAATTGTCAGATGGAATAAGGCTCATTGACTCATTTAAAATAAAACAGTCTTAAAAATTAAAACAAACTTCGTTCAAAGTAACGCTTAATATCAACAACGATTTTTTTATTGAAATGTTTGGTTATTTAGAAAACGTAAATTTCTGCGGCTACTTTTCTGCGTATTAAAAAAACATTTTGGGGTAGGGGAGGTATACTACAACAAATTGTCAAAAATTATGTTATTAAAATGTAATAAGTAAAAAATTTTCATCACATGAAGTAGAAATCCCCCAGCATAATTCATTTCAGCTTGAGCTAATTAAATTTGAGCTTGAGCTTGAGTAAATTTGCAGCTTTTTCCTTTAAAAAGAGTATAAGTTTTGTTGAGAGAAACGGGAAGACAGAGTGATATTAATAAGCACAATTTGTTTTTCCATTTGGTTAATATAGTATACTTATGGAAAATTGAACGTTATTAAGAATTAAAAGTATATAGTCAGATATTTTTATTTTTCAATTATATTTAATTAATTGTTTAATTTAAGATTAACAAAAAAATGTAAGTATATCACGAGAAAGATATTGAAGTGGTGAGAAATTTCAATTTTGATTTCAATTGTACATGGAATTTTTTTTTTGTTTTTTTTTTCAAAATCGTAATATGTAATTTCATACATATATATACTTATATATTTAATAACATATACTTATTTAATTGTCAAAGTAAATATTTACAAAATTAAATTCTACACCCTTATATTATAATATGGCCACCTTTATCTTATCTTATAAATCATGAATGAAATTTTTTTGTGTAACACATAATTCTTAAATAAATACTTGTGATTTAATAAAAAAATTAGTCTTAATCTTTTATCATTTTAAGTATTTGCAACAATTATAATTGTTAATAATATTGTTCTTATACAATAATAATTATTGTTCAATTATTTTACATGTGTTTATAAAGATATGAAATAAATACCTACTTAAAATATTAAATTGAAAAAATTAAAATAATTATATACAGGATGTTACGAATATTTTAGTTGAGCTACTGTATTTACAGTATATACAGTTTTATCAACCTAGCCATCTTTGAAATTCAAACTATTGTCACTGTTGTCTCTATCATACTGTTGAACAAAGCTTTACAAATGGTATTGTATGGAGACAATATTCATAGTATAACAGATTCCAAAATCTTACTACTCCTTAAATCTAATCTATACTATGTAGCTGTTCAATTTATTTAAGCCTTTCAAAATGTGAAAATTAATTTTAAGTATAATGAGAAATTTCAAATTAGTCTCAATGTGAAGTTGTAAAATGGCACATACTTTGAAAATTGCTCTAATACAAAAATATAACAATTTATAAGAGTTTGTTTAAGTGAAGCTATATATGTATGTATCAATAAGCTAGTGCACCCTGTTTCCGTAAACAATGTTCAATTATATTATTTATTTGAAAAAAATACATTAATTATTGTTGTATACATGTATAACATATACAAATATTATAATATGTAATTACAGATTAGAATGTGTGAATTTTAATTCTAGATATTTTAATTTTGTTATTAAAGTAATTATACATATATACCTATATATAAAGTAATTATACATATAACTATATATAAATTCAAATTTAGGGAATATTTATTCGTAATAGAAATTTTACCTATTATGTACAGTTATAATTATTTTTCAGTATAGTTCATTAAATATTTCTTTAAAAAATTTTTTTAACTAAAATAATTTGGCATTTTCGCTGAAATTAATAAAACTTGTATATTTTATATTCTGCATAAAATCAAAAACTGGTTTTAAAACTATAAAATATTATAACAATAAAAATACATAATAATATACGCATATATTCCATTATGTTATTATTAAAACATTGTATGTGCATATTATGTAGTTTGCTCTACATTATTATGTAGTTTGTTCTATATAATATTATAACAATACTAAAGTATACTGCAACAATAATTTATGCAATGTCCAAGAGAAATAACTTTAAAGTTTTTTTGAGTATTTCTTATGAAATCATTAATATTAAGCACAAAATATGGGACTATATTGAGTTTTTGTAAAAAGAAAAATTTCATTTTATTTGATTCAATTAATATAAAATATGTGACAAAATTGAACAAGTCGACTTTGCACAAAATCAAGATTTTATAACATTCAAATTCACCAACTTTTAATTTATAATCTATCGAAATTTGATTGAATTCAGATAATTCTATTACAGTCAAATTAAATTAAAAAAAAAACACCCATTAAAAAATTATCACATATTAACAGTATTCTTCGGTCTTCCAACAACACTGCGTTACAATTAAAAAATTATTTGAGAGTAGAGAGAAATTACGTTGAATTTATCTGAAAAATCCTCAAAAAATATTAAATTTATAAATAATTTTTAATTTATAAAAAATGTTTTATTTTATTAATTATGTTTAACAAAATTTTCATACAAAAAACTGCTCTATTTACGGACAGCTCTCAAAATATTTTAATTCCTTTTCATATACATACGAGTATAAGTACATAATTAGAGCGAAATTCAAAATATTATTATGATGTCAACAAAAACTACATTTTTGTATAACACTAATTTAATGTCACCAAATCAAATCTCTTTCTCTCTATCTCTCACTCTATCTCTCTCTCTCTCTATTCACTATCAACTGTTAATTTTCTATATTAATGAACAATATAGTTTCATTTACGCTTTATTTGTAAATATAATAATGAAGATATTAAAATGTAAACACTATAAAATTAATTTCATATTAATTTTAATTATTATAATACAAATATGTTAATTATAATACAAATGAGCATATGAAATATTTTATTTAAATTTTA